CCCCCCCCCCGGAACCGGGTCCCTCACACTCCCCTTGCCACTTCAAACGCACCCGCGCACACGCACCCGCGCACACACGCACACAGCTCTACCTCATCTTCCTCCGCCGTAAGTCCATCTCCTTCGCCATCCTCTATGCCCCCTTCGCCTTGATCATGGGCGTGGCCTTGATTGTCGGCATCTTCGTCACCACCTTCCGCCTGATGGACCCGGTCAACTTCGGCGGCATCAACCTCTGCTTCATCCAGGACACCGCCTTCTACCCCCTTCTGGCGGTCATCCTCCTGGCCATTATCCCGCTTGTGGTGTTGAGCATCCTCTCGCGCAAAATCAGCCACCGCTACTTCGGCGAGTATCGCATGCTCCTTGTTCAGATGAGTCTCGTCGTCATGGCGTACATCTTGGATTTGGTCTTCTCGGTTCTCAACTGGCACTACACTCTCTGGGGCCGGGTCATCCTCTCGGTGGCCGTGCCGGCTGCCATGTTGATCGCCAACCTCCTGCAGGTTGCCCACCTCGTGTACTTCCAGTACGTGGCAATGCCCCCCCCCCCCTCCCCTCCCGAGCGCCTTCTTGCCCTTCAGCCACATTTGCTTGTCTCTCTGCACGCCTAACTCCGGCTCCGGTTCCACCACCACCACCGCCTCCTCGCCTCGCCCTCCCCTCTCGTCCAGCATCACCGATCGTGACAATTACCTCGAGAAGTTCCTCGAGTCTATGAAGCTCAACATGGGCTCCAGTGGGAGCAGCGGCAATCTGGGCAAGGGCTTCTCCGCGTCCAACACCGTGTCCATGTCCGGCACCGGTGGCGACATGACATCCACCGGTGGGACCGGCACTGGCACCACTTCCAGCGGCGCTGGCAACAGTGGCCCCCATTGCAGTCCCCAGCTGTCCAGCATGACAGTCAGCACGTCCATCGGTGATTTCAGCCCCCTCGTGTCGGCCGACGACCCCTCCGGGGCGGACTACCCCGACAAGTTTGGGCACTACCCTTCCAAGCCGATGGTGGCCGGGAAAGACATCGAGCTCGGGGTCATGAGCAGCACTGCCCCGTCGGCGGACCCTCTTAAGGCTGAGGTGGCCGTTCAGGTCCCTGCTGAGCATGGGCCGGAATCCGGGTCAGAGTCCAAGTCGGAATCTGAGTCCAAGTCGGAGTCAGAGTCGGAGTCGGAGTCGGAGCCTGAGCCTGAGCTGGAGCCGGAATCCGGGCCTGAACCGGAGCCGGAGCCGGAGTCGGAGCCGGAGCCGGAACCAGTCTCCCCGGCCATGTGCTCTGCCCCGTCGATTGCCGCAGACGAGCAGGATGCTGGTGCCTCTTCCTGCAGCAGCAGCAGCAGCAGCAGCAGCAGCAGCGACGATGGCGCTGATACAGGGGCAAATCCTGACAGGGGAGCATCCGATACCGATGGGTCCAACGACTCACTCGCCTCGCCGAGTCCCCCAGCACTTGTTTCTTTTGTTTGAATGGGCCAGGAAGGAGCGCCGTTCGGCGCGCATGCCTATATCCCCAGCTCTCCCCCGGGCACACTGATATATTTTCTTTCCGTTTGTTTGTTTATTTGTGTCCCAATGTGGACATACGTGTATGTGTATGTGTGTGTGTGGGGGGGGGGGGGGGTGGATGCGGGAAACTTGAACCGCCGAGAGGAGCGGCACGCCAATGTCCCCAAGACCCGTGGCTTTGTGCCGGAGAAAGAAAGAAAAGGCCTGGAGGGGCAGGACCCGGGAACACTCGGGCGAGCTCCAACCGCGGATCTTTTCGGCCATCCGTGACCTGAGATCACGCGCGGATAAAAATAAGCGGATCACGCGAACAGCACTCGGAGATATTCCCAACTAATGGTTGGACCCCTCGGAGAACGACATTTTCACGAACCGAAGAGACTCGCCCCTCCTCCAGCATGCGGATGCGCGTGTGTATATATGTGTGTGTATATGTATGCATATACAAGCGCGGGAGTGTGTGTGTGTGTG